CTGTTGCTCTGGGATCGATTATCTTGTCTACCACTAGGGGGGATTGCCCCATTTTCCTAATTGCAATAAACTCACTGCATGAGGAAACATTGCTGATAATCACTCTCGTGATTCTTTCCACCCTAATTCAGGGGTACAACATTATATGCTTTGTGCTGCATGCTGTGTTATGTGCTGCGTACTAAGTATTGCACACTTTGTGCTGCATGCTACGTGTTATGTGCTGTGTGCTACGTGTTATGTGCTGCGTGTTATGTGTTGTGTGCTACGTGTTATGTGCTGCGTGCTACGTGTTATGTGCTGCGTGTTATGTGTTGTGTGCTACGTGTTATGTGCTGCGTGCTACGTGCTGCATAATACGTGCTATGTGCTGCATGCTGTAAACCTGACCCCTTTGATTAACACAGGTTTACCTGCATCTTCCTCTTGAACTGGGTCCAGAACCACTCGGTCCAGATGAGGAGCCTGCCAGCGTTCAAAGAGAGAGTCATCAGAGGTGATGATTCCTCGAGCGTAGCGCCATGACACTCTGAGAAAAAAGAGAATCATCATCATCAGAAGCTTTTAACGCAGCTGAACAACACACACTTTAATAGGTTAAGAAGTCTTTATAATGTATAATTTGACATTATTTACATGTCTTAGTTTTTGTTCATAAAACCTTTAATCAGAGTTTATAATGCTGACATTCTTAGAAAAACATCAGTAAAAACAGTATTATTCAGTCACAATGATGTTTCTTCAGTCAGTACCTCCAGGGGAACTTCCCCAAGGCCTTCATGACCTGCTCCAAACAGTCAATGTCCACCTTCTGTCCTGAGGTCACCGTCCTCGTCCTGAGTCCACACTGCCACGAGTCCACACACTTTACCTTCCGCCCTCGACACACTTTTGACACGTTGGGTTGAGATGTTCCCTGATCAAAGATTTTTTTACTCATGGTTTAAGAATATTTAACTTCAACTCAACATTCACCCTAACCCTAACCATACTCCTTGTAGTTCCTTCTAGACGTGTTTTTCTTGCTTCTACATTGTGCTAATTTAGTGGATCAAAACTTTTGGCTTATTCAGGAGATGGGTGCTGTGACTTTAGGTTTTAACATTTTAAATCCATGTGAGTTTGGTTACAAAGATCTTCTTCAGTTGATCAGTGAGTTAGACGCAGGAGAGAATTTACCTGAAAATGTGTTTTTGGTCTTTACTCACCTTTTCTTCCATTGCTGTCTTGCTGTCTTGCAGCAAACAGAGAGTTTGAGTTTTGAGCCCGAGCCCACAGGTTGCACTGCAGGGAGAGCTGTCAGTGATGACCTCCAGCTGTACTTYATCCACCTTCTCCAGGTCGACTGGGACCAGGAGATGGAGGAACAGCAGGAGGGAAACTGGCACAGAGCCCGTGTACATTTTCAAGCTTGCAGGTAAAATCTGTTGTGTCAAGAGAAGAGCAACATTTTCATGCTGGTTATTTTTCTTGTTTTGAAGCAATTTTTTTTGTCAGAATAACAGTGCAGTGCAAAACTGATGGTGTTAAAGAGTTTATAAAGTATTTTCACATAAACATCCAGTGGTGGACACAGCTATCCAAAAAGTTAGCTTCACTAACCACTAATCCACTAAACGAGAACCTTAGCTCGGATAACACTAAACAGATTTTAAAAAGTGGAAGCTAACGCTAAACACTAAGTCRTTTAGGGTCATTTGTAGCAAATCAGCCAATCAGAATTTGTTATAGCTCTGTCTACCTTGTGATACTTTCAGTTTACAGTATCTCTTTCAGAGAAAAAGCATTTTTATTGAGTTTGTATTTTTATAAATAGTTTAATCAAACAAGTAGAAAAATATCTTCTCCAACATATTTTATATTTAGTCAATTGTTTATTTATTGAAATATTAACTGTTATTTAATTTCTTTTTGACACTATTAGTTGGAATTTAGCTACTAAAGATGCTGCATCAGTACAGTACTCTGACATATGACAGGCAAATTCCTTTAAACTATGTATGATTAATAAGTAAAAATGGCATTAACCCTGAAAAACAAAATGAATCTTACAGATACTGTGGAAATATTTTAGTAAAGAATTGTAGAAAGATTTTAGTGAATTTGCAAATGACTGGTTCAAGAAAAAAAAAGAAAAGATATATATCAAACTCACCTGTTTTGTTCTGAACGTCAGGATGGTATGATTCTGATCAAGTTGTATTTATTTTTATTAAATCTGTTGTTATGACAACTTGACTTCCAGAATTCAAACACTTCATTCTAACATAAACAGAAGGAAAAGCTGCCGTTCATCAGGTGACCACCAGAGGGCAGACCAATGTTGAAGGCAGCCTTTGAACAAAGGAGGAAAGGTTCAGTGAGGTCAGGTTAATAGTTGAGAACATGATTGAGAATGACAAAATGATGAAAGCTTTATGAGCAAACAGTCCTACAGATATATTAACTGGTAATAAAAGCTTGTTGCTCTGTTTTTTTGTTTTTGTTTTTGTTTTTACTGATCAGTAAGTCCTGAATTGTCCCACATTTCTCACTCATGTCCCAACGTCTTGTTTCAAACAATGACTCACATTTCACTGAGTCAGATTAGAAAAATAAAAAAGGGAAATGAATTGACAAATGTTATTTAGTGGCTGCAGTTTTCAACCATTAGATAATGGAGGAGAAGGAAAGGCTTAAAACAGAGGCGCAATGACATCTCGTAATTATGAGATCAGGGATGTAATTTTTTTGTGAATGCAATGCTCTTATGTAGATTTGATCTAAGCAGACAGTAATGTAAATTATGTCAAAGAACCCACAAGAACCCACAACTGGTTATAGTTTTGAGTTCTTTAGTGTTTTCATTGTGATCAAATTAAAAAATGTTAAGCTTTAAAGAATGTTGTTTAACTAAAGCTTTTTCTGATTTACTTTAAAAAGTATTGGAAAAAAATATAACAAAACAGGTTCAGGTTGACACTTGAAGGCAGAGACTGAAGTGTGGTGGAGATTCTGTCTTTGTTTATAACAGCTATAACTGTTGTTGACCCTACCCTTTGTAACTATGTCACTTGGTCACGTACAGAAGCACCATCATTGATGGACACCATGACAGACATGGGGGCTTGATAAAGCACCATACCATACCATACCATACCATACCATACCATACCATACCATACCATCTTTATTTATAGAGCACTTTAAACACCCACAGGACCAAAGTCCTGAACACATACAGTAATAAAACATGCACGCATTCATCAAAAAAAAAAAGAAAAGAAAAACATAAAAACAACACTACAAACTCAAAAGGAAAAAAATTGTATAGGTCTTCTGGACGGGTTCTTCTTTAATGAAACATTTCGTCTCTCTTCCAAGAGACTTCTTCAGTCTGAGAGTTTCAGGCAAAATTCAGGCTTTTGAGTCCTGCCTCCAGCTGAGGCCACTCCTAGTCTGTATGGTTTACCCAAAATTCACAAACAGGATGTACCGGTAAGACCCATTG